TTATCCTACAACATGACTTAAAAAAATTAACTTAACAATGGACATCTTTCTACATTAGCAAATAGATTCATTGCATTCCTTAATAGCTTAATCCTATTCCTTTGTATGAACCTAACATATATTATTTAACCAGCCCCTAACTGATAGACATCATTTTCTTTTTTTGCAGGAACAAACGATGCTATAAAGAAAAACTTTGTAATCATATTTTTCATGCAAGTGTATAAATATACCTATAGGATAAATTTCTAGAAGTAGAATTTCTGGGTTACAGGGTACACACATTTTAAACTTCAACAAGCCATTACCAAATGTACCTCCAAGGAAATATATTCCCATCAGTAGTGTGTGAGAATTACAGTTTCCCTACATCCTTATCCACTACTGGTTATCAACTTGTTTAATCTCTTAAACTAATAGGTAAAAAATGGTAATATTTACTTAAATGACTGGAATTACTGAATCCATAGCTTAAATAGGGTTTGAATGTATTATTAGTTGTAGGCTGAGCTGAACTGCCTATGCAGAAAAAAATTCAACAAGCACATTAACAGTATAAGTAGAGAGACGGGTAATGTTTAACCAATTTAGGATTTTAGCATGGAGCGGACAATGATGCCACCACAAAGGAGCTGGGTCTCTTCACTAAAGCACACTTATTTACCTCTTACTTGAAATGCATTGTTATCAGGTCTTCACACTATGCATACAATTGAGAAATGTTCCTTTTAAAAGAGTATATTCAGCTCCATAGTCATACATTTACTTTCTTATTTTTACTTACTCATAACACTCCTCTGTGTGATGAGGCCACTTTGATAGTTCACTTTTTCATATGTTGCTTATTAATCTGACCTTTGACCTCTTTTAGGTGTTAAAGCGTAAGACTGCAATTAGTATCTAGCCCTGAACATCCAACATAATTAAGACAACTGATAAAGGTGGTTGTATCAGAACACAGAAAAAGGAGGGTAAAAATTAGTAACTGTTAGCAGGGGCCGACCACAGGGACAGTCTAGACATGCTGGATTATGAAAACAAAACACTAGTATAGCCCACATACTCAGTGAATGCTAACATAAATGTTCACAAGCACTGATTCACTGTCAAAGGCTAGATGTCTATGATTATAATTCTATTAGCTATGACGGTTGAACTAAGCTATTCACACATTTTCTTAACTGATATTCTTTGTGGCTAACTCCAGGTAACACTTTTTGTCAGGGAGATTCTAGTAACTCTAACAGAGATCCTGACCTGATAAAGTAGTATCCATAAATGTAAAAATAAGTAACACAAATTATCTAGCATTCTGGAAAGGTTTTGCCTCAAAACGGATAAATCAGTAACCCCCTCTACCCTTCCTTTAATTCTCAATTTAAATTTATATTCCTCACACAACAAATTGATCCTTAAGACTTTATTTCAAAGTCAAAATCTCTTGCAACACTAACAGGCCCACATGGCTTTGCCAAGTGAACACAGGGCAGACACTACATATCACCTTCCCCACATCAGAGACGGAAAGAGCAGAACACCAAGGTGACAAAGTGCTAAAGCCAAGCTATAAATTGTCTTTTGGTCACTAACGGCTACATTTTGAAAAAGCTGACAGAAAGGTAGGGCTTCTCTTTCCTTTGGTGAGAATCAAGTGTCATATAAAAATATCCTCCTAACTCACTACCACAGTGCTGCCCTCACATAACTTGCCCAGCACAAGAAGCACCGCTGGCTTCTAAAGACAAGGACAAGAAGCTCTGTATCTGTGGACGGGAGGGAGCCGGAGCCGTGAAGACCAGCTTTCTGGCTCTCAACTATGCCAGACTGCCCTGATAATCCTCCTTAAATCCCACAGTGTTGGGGTGGGGTGGGGGTAGGGGTGAGGGTGGGGGTGGGAGACAGAATAGAAAACAATCCCAAATTGAATCAAGGGCAGTAGCTCTGGATTACAGGAGGTCATAACATTTCTATTTGAATGGGAGTGGGGGGAGGCAGCATGGCAGAGGAAAGGCTGATATAAAAGCCTGTACATTTATAAAAACACAACACAAAAATACATTTTATCCCTGATCCTTCTGATTTGCTAACCAACATCTGCCCCTGATCATTTGCCAGCCGGGGCTGCACGGAAGGCACAGAGTAGCAGGCATTTTCACACAGTGAGGCTGGAAGGGATGCTACTAGAGTGTAAATTACTAATTAGCTCAATAGAAGACAAAGAGAGAAAATACCTGTCACAGAATGCTGTTTGCAACTTGACATAGAATAAAAACAACCCTGAAAATTCCAGAAGAGGGCCTTACTTTTCAGACTTCTATTAACATGTAAATGGCCAAGGAACAGTATTATAGTCTTTAAAAACTGCTCATGTGTCAGAAACAATAACACATGGCTAGAAAGAACACTTCCCAAATAATTTGTAATTTTCTCATCCTTATGAAAGCAAAGTGCTTTTAATTATTACAATCAGCTTTAATAAGGAGCTATATTTCATAGCTTTGATGATCACTTATGCGGGGGTGGGGAGTGGCGAGAAGCTCACAAGTGCTATATTTTACATTTGTTGGGATCCAGCTAATAGTCCTTTCACTGAAATCGGACAGGCCTCATTCTGCAGGTCACACCTTAATCAAATGGACAGGCTACCATTTGAACAAAGATCAAGGATGAGCTGGAAGGTGGCAGTGGGGACAGGGTCAATGAAATCTCCTTACATCATGACAACTAAAAAGACTGCCCAAATTTAGGTTTATTTTGGGAGGAGGTAACAGAATGTTAAAGATATTTATACTCATCCCCTTACTACAAGGCAAACCTACTTATATTAATTGCAAGCCACACTTCTCAGACAGTACATTTGACATTTAGATCTTTTCCAGCTCCTTGAAGCAACATAAGGATTTTTAGGCAAAATATGTATTTCACCTAAATATGTCTCAGTCATGGAGTTGAACAGCCCGGTGGCTCCCATTTGGACATAATAATCACTCCTCATGCCAGGTGCTAAGGAGGCCCCAACAGAGGGGCAAGACCATGACAGTTTTTGCTGATGAGGGAGGGGCCTACAAACTCGTGGTTCACAAGTAAAAAAATGTTTTTCAGAAAACACTGAAAACAACAAACCATAAAACCACAAAATTCACCCCAAGTCTAATTTTAGATTCCTTTGCTTCACATCCTTGACTTAAATCAAACACTTGCTGATACAATCAAAACATTCTTCCTCTCTTTTTTTTTTTAATTAAGGCCTTGTACCCTTCCCTCCCCCTCCAAATTTACTTGTTTAAAAATACTCAAGTGAGAGAAAATGATAAAGCAAATGGGGCAAAATAAAAAATATTCATGAATTTGAAGAGTGGTATATAGAAGTTCTTTGTACTGTTTTTGCAACTGTTCTATGAAGTTTGAAACATTGTAATGTAAAAAAAATCCAAAATCACAAAAAATAGAGTAATAACAAAGGAGCTTTCTCCTTGGGTTGTAAGTTTCAAACAATTCGCATACTTAGCTCATGCTGTGCACTTAGTAAACACGAATTATCAGTTTTTTTAAAAAACGAGGGCAGGTAGAGCTCAGTGGTAGAGTGTGTGCTTAGAGTGCATGAGGTCCTGGGTTCAATCCTTAGTACCTTCATTAAAAACAAAAAACAAAAAACAGAAAACGAGTGGGTCAATTGTAATAAATGACCCACTCTGGTGAGGGATGTGGATAATAGGGGAGAAGGCTATGTACATGTGGGGACCGGGGAATCTCTGTACCCTCCCCTCAATTTTACTGCAAACCTAAAACTGCTCTAAAAAAAATAGTCTTAAAAAAAAAAGAATGGATCAATTATTTAACATGTTAAAGCACATGTAAATGTATTTAGTACGCTGCTTACGTAGGCATAAAGAGAAGACAGAAAAAACCAGCAAGAATCTGAACAGATTTTGCTTATGGATATCCACACTGAAATTCGAGTTCCGTTTTTCCTCAGTGGGCAACAATCTCACAACGGCAAACTTGTATGGTATATAACAAGTCCATACATGTTTAGAGGTGAGAGATTATTGTCCATTGAGGAAAAGTACAGGCCTTTTTCTAGCTAAAAGGGGAGACAAGTAACCATTAACCTGCAATGCAATTAAGCATTTTATTGATTTGGGGTTGTTTTATTTCATAAATACAATTTTGTAACCAAAAAAATACAAGCATGTAAGAACCCTGATGTAATCTTTGCATGATACATACATAGCCCTTGTGGTATTTGTCCTAGGTTCCTCATCTAGAAAGGAACTGAAAAATGGTTAATAATGGAACCAAAGGACTAATTTAAGGACTTGAAAACAAGACTAGTTAAGGGATAAAATAATCTGGAGAAGAGCATGGTGAGGGATCACTTCACAACAGTCAAGCAGAGGTAATACCAGAGTAGACTGCCCACAGAATGCCAAGGTTCAAATCCCATCCCCACCATTTGGTAGAATTCTACCTTGTAAACTAAAAGAAAGAATAAATGTATAATTTAGTTACTACTTGAAAAAAAAACAAACCAAACCACTTATCTATACTACAAGATTATTAATGATCAAACAAGTAGTTGCAGAATGTCATAGTATAACCTTGGGCAAGTCATTTAATCTCAAGGAGCCTCTATTTCATCACATGTAAAATGAGAACAGTAATAGTACCTACCTCACATGACTGCAGTGAGGAATAAATGAGTTACGATCTGCAAAGAGCTTACCACAGTGTCTGGCACAAAAGCACTATATGTGGGTAATACTATTCCTGAGTTTATGAAGAAATAGGGTCTTTTTAATACTACAGTAAGAATCTATTTTTTTCCCAAAAATTGAGAATGGGGCAAGAGAAAACAAATACAAATACTGCATTAAGTGTGTGCTGGTTAGACAAGACAGGCTGTCCTTATAAAGAAAATAATTAAATGCAGCAAAATATTAAAAAGGTTGTCACATTACCTCTGAAGATTTAAAAAAATAGGGTAAATTTTTATCTACCTGGAATGATTTAAGTGGGATATTGACTGAAGTTGCAGGATAAACTAGAGGTCCTTTCAAGGTCTCTTCCCATCCAAAGAATCTACAATTAACCAGAAGAACATTTAATTATGTACCACCTAGTCATTCAAATCTGAATATATAAACTTCAAACTTTTCTACTTAGCAAATAAGATTGTAACCAAAATAAACTGAGTAGAATTCTACTTGATGAACAAATGAGAATGAAGCTTAAATGTATCACACTACGGCAGCAGACAGAAACAAAAGACAAGATCCAAACAAACCTTTTCCCTTGGTTGATCTTATAGTTTATATTTTCTTCCTCATCAGTATCAAATAAGTCTAAAATAATTTATATAGATATCAAGTATAAAACAATTACATTGTGAAAATGCAATACCACATGCAGAATACAACCAACTAGCAATGCCAAACACATCTAGAAAGGAGAGGAATACGCACACATTCCTCACAGAAACAGGTGCCTCACACCAAAGTTTGAAAGTTAACATTTTGGACTAATTCTCTTGTAACTTAGCAGCAAAAACAGTAATTTTTAAAGATCCCGTTAAACTGCTAAATCAATCTAGTCACCCTGAACACCTGCTCAACAGAATTCAGAATCCATGAACACAGCAGCTAAAACCAGAAAGATTTAAGACTGTAATTGTTCATATACATTAGTAACTGATGTTTCTGATGTCCACTAATCAAAATCTAATCTTTGCTAACTATCACAAATGCCATCAACCTAATCTTAGCCATTTATACAAACACCCACAAAACACTGGCAATCCAAAGTTTATGTAACTTTGAAAAAAAAAGCATCTTTGTGTATCTGAATGTATATTAATGAAATAACCTCAAATAAGAGTCTCAAGAACAGTTTGCATTTTCTTAAGTAAATTGTATGCTATCCTTTGGCACCATCAAATACAAAGTAATAATTGTTCATATTCTTAGCTAAATGTGAAAGTTTCACAATAAAAACCATCAAAACAAAACACTTGGTAAGAATAACATAAATTTTGTCCCAAATTTCGTATCTTCCTTTTAATTGCCCAAGATGTCTTAAAAATCAAAAGCTTCTTGTAGAAAATATTAATATCATCTTTTTTATTCACAACTACAAAACACAAGAGCCCGTGGAGCTGTCCAAGACTCTAGCTTGCATCATCTTTGAAGTTTTTCATGATAAAAATTACCCATAAACTCAATATTTAACCTAAAAGATAAATCCCCTTCTAAAATCCTCTACTGTTCTACAAATCTCCCTTTCTTTATTCCATTTTGTTAAATGCATGAGTTGCCTACTACAGTACAAAATGTCCCACACAAAGCTAAAGGCAGCTCAGGAACTCAAAGCCCTTACCACCCTGATTTAAATCTCCGCAAACTTCCCTGGTTGGCTGTTTGCCTTTCTTTGAAATGACTTCTCTATATTCTCCAGCCACCAAAAATAATTAGGCAGAAATCTGGTTGGTTACACATAACAAAAAGATTTACATCTTTCTTTCTCAACAACAGTGCACTCTCCATTGAAAATGAAAATGCTGTTGATGAAGCACTCTGCCCAGAGCTTGTGAGGCACCACACTGCTACAACATAACACTGTCATACCACAGACACAGCCACAATGGAAATACAACCCATTTCCCCATTATCACAACACTAGTTAAATGCAGAACATTTCAGCATCCAGCTGATGCTTCATTATTCATACAAGAACAAAATCAAATCAACATGGGTCTTGAGGTCTCATCTTTTCAAAGTGGACATGAAAGTCAATGTAAAAGCCATGAAAGGTGAAAACAGATTAAAGATTCTTTGAAGAGAGAGAGAGATTTCTGGAATTTCCTACTTTTACAGACAAAAGGACTCACAGTTTCAACACACTCTTCTCTTCTTAACAAAGAATCCCTTTCCTGCGCACCACTCCACCCCCCAACCTTCACTGTTACTTTCTGGTTTTTCCCCCTATCTCTAAGTCTCTTTTCACTCACCATGGTTCCTCCTCTTCTGCACCAAAGGCTCCCTACACTTGATCCTTCACTACAGGGTCTGTGCCCTGACCCATGCAGACCTTCTGGAGCATCTCTCCACAACATGTACACCTGATTCCCTCCCCAGTGCAGTCCACCCCAGTTCTACATCCATCAGGGTTCCCCAGCATTTCCTCAACTCTGGTCTCCTATAGCTCTCTCCTCATCTCATCGTTTAAATCCTGGGGCCCATCTCTCCCTTGCTCCCCTCACCATCTGCTTTTAGCCCTGTCTCTTCACCGCGCTGTTTTGTACCTTGGATCTTGCCGAACCTCGTCAATTAACACAATTCCCCAGTTACCCTGTCCCAGACCTCCATCACTTCTCACATCCTCAGTTTCTTCTCGTTTCCCCGAATTGTCCTACAAACGCATCTCTCATTTTCTTTCACCCTTCCATTTCCACCACACTTCTTCCTAATTCCACCTGGCTCACCCTCGCGTACTCACTTTCAAGAATTTACACCCATCGCCCCTCCACTAACCCATACCTTTCTCAGAACCTCGCAGTTCCCACCCCCCACCGGGGGTCCTAGTCCTGCAGCTCATCTCGCTCTGCACTAGTTCACACCCTTGTCACGTCTAGCTCTTAATCACTCTCTCTCCTCTACTCCCAACTATTATCCCAGCTCTGCCCCTCCTTGCCTTCCACTTCCAACTCTCACCCCAGCAACCCTCACCCTCCTACCATCCCCTACCAAGCTTTCCCCTCCAAACCCCTCCTCTTACACCTAACCCGAGGAGCCCTCCTGCTCGGCTCGCTCTTCCTAACCTCATGCCCTGTCCGGCTTCCTTCTCATCCACCCTGGGTTCTGCCTCCTTCCTATCTCCTAGGCTGGCTTTTTCTCACTCCTCCTCTCCCTGCTTTCTAACCCTTTCTTCCCTTAATCCTCCTCATCTCATTCTCAGACCCGTTCCCCTCAATCGCCCCTAAGCCTTCCTTCCCTTCTCCCCTCAAGGCTTTTACCCCAAACCCAGTGGTCGCCCACCCCGCCAAAATAAAGGGCCGATGCGCCGGGACTGCGGGCTCTCGCCTCCCGCCGGCCCCCGCCCCGGGCGCCCCCAGCCCGCCGGCGCCGCGGTCCCGCCCCCTGCCGCCGCTCCTCCCGCCCGCGAGGCGCGCGCCGCCTTTGTCGCCCCTCACCCGGTGTGTCAGGCTTTTGCTTCTTTAAAGGGGAGGGCCAGTGTGCCGGAGACTCCTGTCCCCGCCTCCGAGTCTCAGAATGGGCTC